TTGCATTGGATTTTAAGAGAAGTAGTAGCATTGAAGCTTTTGGATATGGCTGAAACAGAAGAGGATGTTTTATTCAGAGGAAGCATTTTAGTGAGAGAGCCAAAAGGGAGAGAAGCAGCCTGGGGAAGATGAAGAGCCATATCGTTGGAAGTTCGAAAACGAGGTTGAAGGTGATGGTCAATATCTCAAGGCATCCATATATAAAGGGCAAAATATGTAAATAATAAAGTCGTAATAAGTTTTTGCAATTAGAAAAGAGGAATAATAAAAATGTGGATAAATTAAAAATTACAAAAGTAAACTTTTTGAACACAATCAATAAATCTTATAGAATGTTTAATATATAGAATAAAATGAAAAAGAATAATGAAGCATTTTTTTTAAAAATTAAAATGTCTTTTGAAAGTTTAATTATGGACCATATTGAATAGCATATTTTTTTCACTAAGACTGATGGCGGACTTGAGTTAGGGAGGTTAGATTAGTAAATCACGAGCTCAAAAATAACTCTTAATTTGTATATATTAAGCTTCAGGAAATTTTAATTGTTCACATATACTTGTTTATATATAACAAACGGCAAGCTTTTAGTTGGAAAAAATATTGGAGATTAGATGCATGTTCAACAAGTGCTTGATTATACCTGTCATTCAAAAAAAGAACAAGAATAAGATCACATGTATGCACTGAGAAGCATCTATCATCTGTTTTTTTTTTCCCAACAAGCATTTATGGTTCAATTCAACATGGAGACAGATTTGCATGCATGCATGTTTAGAAATTTATCCAAAACTTTCATCTGTTTCCTATATATAGAGTCAGAAATCTCTAGCCCTGCTCCTGCTATTGATGAATTGATTGATTCCAAGAACTTACAAGGATCGATGCAACTTTCATTATTGAATCAACCTTTATTAGCTTCTAAATGATATATATATATATATATATATATATATAAGCTAGTTTGATATTCAATTTGGTCTTTAGTATAAGGTTCTAATTAACTTGGAATCTCATATTTATCTATTTTTTTCTTAAAGTAGTTCTTGTAGTAATTACACAAGTTAAATATTTTATCAAATGGTAATTTTAGCTTATATACATGATTAGCAATAGTATTTTAGAAAAGACAACACATATATTACAAACAATTAAATTAACTAATTTTATTCATTAACTCAAATTAGTCAACCAGTTCTTATATTAAAGATTGCAAATAATATACATAAAACATATCTACCACTCACCCCCTTCATAAATAAAGGTGCATTGGGGGGGGGGACACACACACACTCTCTCAAATTTCCTACACATTATTACATTAACTAATTTTAGTTAATTTCTTAATCTATTTAATTCAACTGTTTATATCTTATAAAAGTACAAGAAGGTAGTTACTATTGTTTCTTTGTTTCATTAAAGCCTTACGACACTTATTATCAAAAACAAAACTCTTATAACAGTTTTTGACAAGTGTTGGATCATACCTGCTATTCAAAAAAGAAGAAATTAAATTCAAATAAAGACGTATGGACCATTCAATGGATACTAGAGAGTCAGGAATCTCTAGCTAGGCTCGATGCTCCTCCCATAATTTCTGCAACATGCAACTATATGACAATTTGTCTATACGTGTTTGTATTTTTTTTTTTTCAAAGCGTGTGTGTATTTAAAAGATTTTAGCATCAAAAGTGTTTAATTTATATGTACTATTGTTGAATCTTCTTTTGGAATGAAAATAATTTTATCCAAAAAAGGAAAGAATTGTTACAAAGTTTTATAGAAAGAATATAATTAATAAAATTTCATAACAATTGAACAAAATATAATGACAAATTGCAGTGCAAGACTTATTTGTCAATCATAACATTTTGACAATTACATTCTTGTTTTTAAGACTCATAGTAATTCTCCCGGAAAAAAAAATTTGCTTCGCAAGATGTCAAAATCCTCTTCCTAACTAGGAATCAAACACACATAGTCTTCTAGTGTGGGGACTAAACCACACATATTTATAAAGTGTGATAATGATATTGATTGAGACATTACTATATGACCATGCAAGGAATACCCACTATGCATAACATCACAAAGGAGATTACATGCACAATGACAAGCGTCTTCATAGAGGGGAATCACTTTGACAAATGTATACAAAAAGATTTAACAATTTTAATTTGATTTAAATAATTTAACAAGTGTATAAGAAGAATAAGATTACATGCAATGAGATGTATCTTTCATTCAGTTACACAAATTAAAAGTATCCGAATCTTCATCTGTTTCCTACCTTCTAGTGTCAGAAATCTAGACCTGTTGCCTCTGCAATCTGCGCACCAATTATTGGAAAACTTGTCTATACGTGTACATAGTCTTGCAAATATAGATATTTGGTTTCATCATTCTTAGTAACTTAGTTTAAAAGTTATTTATCTGGTGAATAAAAAATTTCATGAGTATAGCTATAGACATATCAGATTTAATGCAGATTTTACGACTCAGTGAAATTTTTAGAGGCACATTGTCTGCAGGAGAATGGAGTACATATTCATATAAATTAAGCTAAATTATATGAAATATTCCTAAACTTTATACTGTAAATAATTTTTTTTAACCTTTTAAACTTTAGTTCTCTCATTTTCCAATTCTTCTCCTGCGGGGTTTGCTCTGGAATAATGCATTGCATATGGGTGTTTTGATAGAAATATGTTTTGCTGCTTGGTTTGTTCTTTTCTGCTTCTAGATATGTTCTTCGATGTCAAAATATTATGTGTAAGGCTCGGTTATGTTTTATTGTCTAAACTATATTTTTATATCCATATTTACTAGCTAGAAAAATTACGCATTGAAACTGCTAACCGTTAATCAATCAGATTTGTGGGACAGAAATCAAAAATTGAAGAGTTTTGTTCTATTCGCGTTTGTGTTTACACAAATATATTTTAGTAGGTTTGGTTCCCCTACTAGTTTATCATCATATAGAATTTTAGTTATTCCCTTTAATTTTTTTATATATTGTATCATATTTTTTAGTTGAAATGATATGATTTGTAGAAAGTTTGTTTATTTTTTTGTGCTTAAAAAAGAATAACAAACTTTCTAGACTGGTTGTGAGTCCAGTGAGTTTAGAAATATCATTTTCTACACTAGCTAAACAATCAGACCCTGTGAAACCGATGTAAAAATGTTTTTTTTAACCGGTGTTAAAGGTCCTTCTGCACTAGTGTATTACATATGATAATTAAGGAAATTTTATATCAAGCACTATTATTTACAAATCATTAGCTCATATTTTCATTATCCGCGATGATTAGGCCACCAAGAGAAAAATCCTTCAAAATAACAAATTAATTAGTTGGGCATCCTATAGTTAATCCACATTCATTAAAGCACTTGCAACATGCATGCATGCATAGCTAAGGTATTCTTTATACTACCTAGCTCTAGTCTTTAATACATGATTCAGTTAATTAATTTGAAGAGATTAGAAAATTACTAAATTTTATCATATGTTATGTGATCTTTCTTAAATATTTATATCGATTATTAGATTATATATCAATTTATAGATGAAGTGAGTTAGTTTGGGAGAAAACAACAATAATATAAATAGTTTAAAGTAATTAATAACATTTTTAATTTTTTTCAAATTAGTTAATTAGGTTTTATATTAATATTAAGGATCAGAGGTTGTGTGTATGCACCCCGCATGTCAAAAGGAGCTTCTTCACATAGCTAAATCAAAGGCTTCGAGTGGACCTTATCTTTGGCAAGTAACAAGCATTATAAATAGGGTTGGAAATAGGCCAAGCGGCCTGTTAGAGGCCACCTTATAAATAGCCTGGCCTATTTAAATATCAGAACAAACTCAAGCTTGTAAAATAGCCTGTTTACTTTATCAACTAGGGTCAAGCCTGATAATAAGCCTATTAGGCCTGTCAGGTGGTCTGTGCCTGTCATCTTTTGTTTTTTTAGATTAAAATTGTAAATGAACAGGAGGAAATCTTCTATTTTGATTGGTTAATTAAGAAAACTCCACCCACATAAATATGTTATTCAGAGCTTATTGCATGCTTCATTTTATTTCCATTCTCTATAATAAAAATAATTGATGTATGTATAATAATGACACATATTTGGACAGAGAAAGAAAAAATGAGTGCACTAAAAAAAATAAAAGAATTTGATCCATGCTTTTCATATTAATCTTATATAGAATATATATATATATATATAACTAACCTATTATGTTTTAGACTGTATATATGTGTGCTCAATCTAATTCTTATCATAATAGTTGCTTAATTAATTTAAATAAATAAATAAATTATAATAAATGTAACATATCTTTTTAAAAACAAGCATGTGTAACAACAAGATCAAATATCATTTTGCTAGTAAATTAGTTTGAACAAATGATAAATTTAAAATATAAAAGGGATTAACAACGTTTCATATTTTAAACTAGATCTAGTCATCACTAATTTTTATACTAGAGATGGGATGAAGTGATACTTTTATACCAAAGTGAAATTATGTTTTCTAATAATTTTTCATATTTGATTTTTTTTTTTTTACCTAAGGGAACACGTTTTATAAATTGTGTTAATTTGGTAATTTTATATTTTCTGTTTGTATTTAGATAAATCAGGTTGAATTATTGTAATTTTGAATTGATTTATATGTGTTTGAAATTTGTTAAAAAAACAAGCCTTTTAACAAGTCACAGGCCAGGTTTAGGCCAAACAAAAAGCCTTTCATAAGTCGCAAGCTAGGCTCAGACCAATAGACCTCATCACAAGTCAGGCCTGTTAAAGGCTGGAACAGGCCCGGCCTGACTTATTCCATCCTAATTATAAACGAAAAATAAACTACGATACAAACTCATGCATGCATGCACACAGATCTTGACTCAGTAAATTAAAGATACAAGGCACGCAAGATCATTTATTAACAAACTGAGAGAAAAGCGAAAATGATGACGATGATGATGAAGATATTTAAGCAGTGTCGCAAGTTTCAGGGACAAAGGTAGGGTGCGGGATTGGTTGCAGAAGAAGTGGTATCTTCTTGGAGACGACAAGGCCACTTGCCTCACTCATATCTATGTCCATGGCAGAGGAAGATGTTCCATCGTCAGGAAGCTTCCAATCGAACCAGTATAAGAGATTGGCAAGAGCATATTCAACTGAAGCGATCCCAAAGGATTGTCCAGGACACCCTCTTCTTCCAAAACCGAAGGGAATAAGCTCAAAGTCTTGGCCTTTGAAATCAATTTCACTCTTCTCAAATCTCTCTGGAACAAACTCTTCAGGCCTTTCCCAGTACTTGGGATCCCTGTGGATTGCCCAAACATTTACAAGCACTTTCGTTTTAGGGGGAATATCGTACCCTCCTAGTTTCACACTGCTTAAAGTTTTTCTGGGAGCCAAAAGAGGACCAGGTGGATGCAATCTCAGAGTTTCTTTCACCACACATTTTAAGTACTTCATCTCACTCACATCGGTTTGATCAATTGTAGGTTTGTGTCCCACATTCCTCGTACCTCTTCCTGTGCTCTCTTCATTTTCCCTCCACGTCTCATCAGCTCCGCCATAGCCATTCAACTGTAGTTGAAGTTGCGTCCACTCCTGCCACAAACATATCCTGGCGTTTTGATGTGTAAATTAGACACAGAGACAGATATAAAAACACAAACACATATTTATGGACGGAAAAATACTCTCAAATTGTGTAATTATGATTTAATTACTACGTATTTTGTTTGAAAAATCGTACAAAGTTCAAAACTTCACCATTTCATATATCAAAATGTCATTTATTTATGCAAAAAATCTAATGCTCAAGAGAAGAGAAGAAAGAAATTTGAGAAACTGGGGCCTTACAAAGCGTATTAGAGAGAGCGTGTTAGAGGCCTCAACCCCAACAAAGATATACATATAGAGAGAGAGAGAGAGAGACAGACAGACAGACAGACAGAGAAATACCGCTACTATTGTCTTGATGCTAAGTAGCGAGAGGTCAGAGTGAGGCATGGGATGGTGATGAAGTTGAAGCAGAACATCCAATAAGTTGTTATTTTCATGACTATTCATGTGCTTGCTGCTGTGTAGTTCAATCATGTGGTCGATGAAATTCTGTATTTTCTCGAAGTGGCCTTCATTCTTGGAAGCAGACCTGTAACAAGATCCATCCACCACAGAGAAGGGAAGAAATCTCCAAAACTGAACTCTCGATTTGATGCAACATTTTCCATTACTATCTCTCCCATTTCATACTTGTGACCAAACACACATCTGCTCATTATGTTGATCGAAGTTACCACCATCATCTGAAACAAATTTACTGATACTACAGAAGACGATGATCCTTCATTGTGTCTTTTGCAAGCTTCACGAATCTCATTACCAAGACTGCAACTTCCCCTTCACTTATGAACTGAAAGGATCTTACTTTCGCTAAGGCAGAAATTCTGCAACAGCGACTTTCCTTCTCTGTTTCCACCTTCCCCGTAAGGTGCAAAGATCACATTGTGCATCCAAAGAAATGGGCCTTCTCCGGCGTGATTAAAGGACGGTCGGAGAAAA